CGGCCTTTTTCTGCCAGTGCAGCAGACAGCTGTTATGTGCACACTGACTTCCCTTCTGTGAGAATTCCCTCCATCTCACTGCTTCAATAGAATGCATCCGGAGAAAGCCCAAGGCAAAGTGATGAAGGTGCTGAGAGTCAGAAGTAGGGCTGGCAGACACTGAAGTGGTGAGTCCCACAGGGATGATGGCAGGCACACCATCTGTGACAGATGCACAGTGTCCTCAAAGCTGCGTCGTGAGCTGCCCTGGGCTTCATGCTCACTTGGGCTTGATGGAAATCCTATTTTTCTTTCAATCTTATGAAATAGTTCAGAGAAATTCTAACAGGTTTTTTCCAAAAAAACTGTACATGTATTTTATGATCACGATTATTACTGTCATCATTATTATTATAGAGACAAGGTCTTGTTATATTGCCCAGGTGGTGTCCAACTCCTGGCCTCCATGCAATCCTCCCATCTCAGCCTCCTGAAGTGTTGGTATTACAGGCATGAGCCACTGTGCAAAATAATTAGTTATTATTTTGCTTAGGCTGTGTATTAGAGTTCTCTAGAGGTACAAAACTAATAGAATACACACACACATAAACGGGAGTTTATTAAGTATTAACTCACACGATCACAAGGTCCCCCAATAGGCTATCTGCAAGCTGAGGAGCAAGGAGAGCCAGTCCGAGTCCCAAAACTAAAGAACTTAGAGTCCGATGTTCAAGGGCAGGAGGCATTTGGCACAGGAGAAAGATGTAGGCTGGGAGGCTAGGCCAGTCTCGCCTTTTCACGTTTTTCTGCCTGCTTTACATTTTAGCTGCACTGGCAGCTGATTAGACGGTGCCCACCCAGACTAAGGGTGGGTCTGCCTTTCCCAGCCAACTGACTCAAATGTTAATCTCCTTTGGCAACACCCTCACAGACACACGGAGGATCAATACTTTGCATACTTCAATCCAATCAAGTTGACAGTATTAACCGTGACCAGCTGGTTAAAGTTGGTTTCAGCTGTGGGTAGAACCTGTCACAGTGCAGCTAGTGTGAGTAATGAATGGGTGAGGAATAACTAGGCTCACGTGAAGATGGTTCAAGTGGTGTTTACCATGCAGTACATCCCGAGTGACAGACATTAACATCGACTGAACACTTTCCAGGAAATATGCTTCTCCACTTAGACTCTAGGGGGCAAGCCCATTCAAACTCTCTTCATCACAGGGTATGTGAAGTGAAAAACAAAACATAGGTATGAAACAAAACATAGGTATAAATCAAAACGTACGTTGAACATGATCAAACTTAAAAGGCAAACAAACTAGAAAAAAAGTAGACTTGCCACATATCTGCTGTTCAAAGACAGCCTTGATCAAAATATGCAAAAATGAAAATTCCAAAAGGAAAAAGATATATACATACCTGATTAACACAAAAAAATCGGTTGCAAAGAAAAGCAAATTAAAATGGCAGGTCCCCCTGGGCAACAACTATTGGGAGAAAATCAGAATGATAAAGCCCGCTGTTGGTGCAAACATTGAAGATGGCCTCTCCTGCCCTCTGCTGGTGGGAATTTAAACTACAATAGCATGGTAAGTCCTTTCTGGAGCTTGTTTGAAAATATCAATCCAAAGTCTTTAAAATGTTCACATCTTTTGACTTAGTGATTCCACTGCTATAGCTTTTATCAGTGGAATAATTACAGCTATGTAGAAAGAGGCACACATTTCATTGCGTTTTTATACAATACATGGAAGAACTTTTTAAAACTAGCTTTCTTCTTGGAATGAAGAACAGTATCCCAAATTATAGATATTAACATTTACTGAGCACTTTCCATATGCCAGGTGCTTTTCTAAGAGCTTTCCCTGTATTCTCATTCCTGGAGGTGCTCACAGAATACCTGGGGACCAAGGGTCAGTGACACAGCACAATGAGAGAACAGGGTAGTATTACTCTGGCCTCAGAGTTGTAAGTAACAAAAAATTCAAAATTAATTTGGAAAAAAAGGGAAAATTTAACAATCTGTAAAGTCTCAGCAATGGATAATAACGGCTAAGATTTATCAAGTTTTCTATGGGCTGCTCTAAGAAACTTGCATGTCTTAATACTTTTAATCTTTACCCAATCCTGTGAGGTGGGTATTATTCTTAACCCCATTTTGCAACTGAGGAAACTAAGGCAAAGAGTGGATAAGACCCTTGCTGAAGGTTGAATGAGCCAGTAATGACAGAACTGGCAATGCCAGCCAGGGAGGCAGCTTGCTCCAGAGTGCAGTGGCACAGTGCTACCAAGACTTCTTAGCTTGCCTCTCAGCGCTTCCTTCCCACGTGGGCTCCCATTTCCAGAATAGCAGCCCCAAGCCGAAACCGACGTCAGAGCTCACTCTGTCAAAGCAACCGTGAACATATTCCCAGCCTAAGACCTGGAGAATGAGAGGTCTGTTTGGGTCTTGTGCCCTCCCCTAGGACAGGGTCAGTCTCTGGAAACCAAGCAGAGCCACTATAGAAAGCAACAGTGGCTTCTCAGAGGAAGGGTGGTAGGCAGACACATGTATGTCCGTATTGAAGAACAGTTAGCTGTGCTCAAGGACCAAAGTAAGCACGGGAAATGGAGTTCCTGCTGTGTGTTTGGTGTTTGCAAGGCACTGAGGGATACTAAGACATGGTGGTTTTCCCCAATCCATTGGGGGAAACACAGGCAAAAGGAAAACAGCTATAAAGCTTGGTGATTCTTTTTTCTTTTTTTTTTTTGAGACGGAGTCTTGCTCTGTTGCCCAGGCTGGAGTGCAATGGCATGATCTCCGCTCACCACAACCTCTGTCTCCTGGGTTCAAGCAATTCTCCTGCCTCAGCCTCCAGAGTAGCTGGGATTACAGGTGCATGCCACCATGCCTGGCTAATTTTTTGTTTTTAGTAGAGATGGGGTTTCACCACGTTGGGTAGGCTCATCTTGAACTCCTGACCTTGTGATCCACCCACCTCAGTCTCCCAATTACAGGTGTGAGCCATCGTGCCCAGCCAAGCTTGGTAATTCTTGGAAGAGAGACATGAACCCAGGGACAAGGGAATACTGATCAAGGGGTGAACAAGTGCCAGATCTTGAAGACCTGGCAAGCCAAATTAAGGAGTAGTGACTCACAACTACCACTGTTTGCAGGCAAACTATATATGCCAGGCACTAAGCTAAACAATCTGTATACAACTCTCTTCACTCCAACACCCGACGTTTCACAGATGAGTAAACTGATACTTAGAACAATAAAATAACTTGCCCAAGGACTCACAGCGATGGTGGCAGAATTCAACAGTCTAGAAACACCTTGGATTTATCCACATTGCTAAGGGGAGGCCAGCAAAGCTCACAATGAAATTCATTTGTTTCCCACAAGTAATCCACATTGAAAATTTCTTAATTGGTAGCAAGTCTGGCATCACACATCTATCTATAATTAGGGTGCCACAGTACACACACTGAAGGGTTTCTTTTCTTTTTTTTGAGATGGAGTTTCACTCTTGTTGCCCAGGCTGGAGTACAATGGGGAGGTCTTGGCTCACTGCAACCTCCACCTCCTGGCTTCTAGTGATTCTCCTGCTTTAGCCTCCCAGGCAGCTGGGATTACAAGCACCCACCACCATGTCTGGTTAATTTTTTATTTATTTTTTATTTTTAGTAGAGATGGGGTTTCACGATGTTGGCTAGGCTGGTCTCGAACTCCTGATCTCCCACCTGCATCAGCCTCTCAAAGTGCTGAGGTTACAGGCATGAGCCTCCGAACCCCGCCAAAGGGGTTCTCTAATGGACCTCAGAAATGAAGATATGGTCATTAAGTACTGGAATTTTTCCAACCTGCTTTTAAGTACCATCAATATGGTGTGCAAGTAGTGTCATTTAAAGTATCAGAGAAAAAAAACGCTGGAAGGATTTCAGATCCAATTTAAAAGGCCCTCAAACCACAAAAGGAGAAACTTGATCTGACCTGAACATACCATGTCTGGGAACCTGGGATAGCTATGATGTCTTGGGAGTATTCAATTACCAGGGAGACCCTGAACTGACCCTTTTTCGAGGAGACAATCAACAGAAGATTGTATTTGATGGGACAAATTCACTTCCTGTTAACAAGGCTTCTAACCCTGTTCAAGAGAGAGAAGATGGGAGGGCAAAGACTCCAGTTGGTTTTGAAGAAATGAATCCAGTTTTTTAGGAGTCTTGAAAGAACAAGAAAGGTAAAAAAATGAAGCAAAAAGGAGGTATTGTTTAGAAAGGCCGTATGATCTACCAGCTGTTAAATCCTGTGCTCTGAAGGGAGATGAAAGGCTGAAGAAACGATAAATCAGTAGAGATGTGGCACTCTTTTCTTTCTTTTTTCTTTTTTTCGTTTTTGGAGACGGACACTTGCTTTGTTGCCCAGGCTGGAGTGCAGTAGCCCGACCTCGGCTCACTGCAACCTCCACCTCCCAGCTTCAAACGATTCTCCTGCCTCAGCCTCCCGAGTAGCTGGAACTACAGGCGTCCACCACCATGCCCGGCTAATTTTTGTATTTTTAGTAGAGACGGGATTTCGCCATGTTGGCTAGGCTGGTCTCGAACGCTTGACCCCGTGATCCGACCGCCTCGGTCTCCCAAAGTGCTGGGATTATAGGTGTGAGCCACCACGCCCAGCCGGCACTCTTTTATTATTTTTTACTACATTCCTCTTACAAACACCCCAACACATAGAAGATATTAAACAGTGCCTAGTAATTCAAATTTTACTTCCTATGTAGCTCTCTGGCTCTCCGCGCCTGCACTCAACCCACCTGAAGTCACTCTTCCTGCTCACTCACACTCCGGCGGAATAAACTGCCCTTTATTCGGTACTTCCTCAGCCCCATGTATAGTGTTTCTATTGTGGCACTGTATTGAAGCTGCTTTCTCTACCAGATTCTTACGTCCGTCCTCCCCATTTTATCACATGCAGCTGCTCAGAAAATGTTGGCTGCATTGATGCTTTCATACATTTATAAATACTGAGTTACCTTGTAGTATACCTCTGTGGTCGTCTTTGGACCAGGAGCTCCTCCCGCGCAAGGCCAATGTCTTACTCATCTTTACCTCCACCGCCAGCATGGTGCCTAACAGCGCCTAGCAAATAGTAGATGCTCAGTAAACGTTTGCGTGGCTAAGCCACCATTTCTCAGCACAAGACTCAGTGGGAAAGGGTTGGGAGAGTAATACGCGGGATTACTGACGGAGAAAACGTTGTGAACTCGTAACACACGGTTTGCGGGCGTGAGTAGTATGGAAAACGGCAGTTTGCTAGGAAAGTAGTTCCCTCGTTTCAGACGGAGACGATTTTTCACAAGTAGGGAGGAGGCGCCCAGGAAGCACCACGTACAGGTGTTTCTCACCGAAACGCACAACAAATCTAGAGCCAAGTGTAATAAGGAAACGGGGCCCAAAAAGTTAACTGAATGCCCAGGGGCCCCCAAATGGTCACTGCCAGGCTCTAGCATCCTTTCCAGCAGGCCCTTCTCCTCCTTTCAAGTCGTGCTGGGCGACTCCTGAAAAGCAAAAGTAGGAAAAAACTGGGGGCTGAGAGGGGAGGCCTGGACAGAGGGTACCTCTCCGGCTCTGGCACCCGGGAGCCTGCGACAGCTTCGGAAACGCAGCGTCTTACGGTCGCGCATCGCGGCCCGGCACGCACCTATTGGCAGAGGTAATCCTGGTCCTCCTGGGCTTCCGTAGGTCGGAATAAACTTGGAACCTTTCGACTCGGAAAGCTCAGTGTTTTAGAATTCAAATCACACTTGCTGGTTTGAGAGCGGAATCCACGAAGCCGACTCCACCCTAACTGCTCGCTAACTAAAACCGCAAAGACAACACAGTCTCCAACCCCAACGCCAGGAAGCCCAGCTCCGAGGCCGACTCCGGAAGTCCTTGTTGGACGTCACTTCCGTCGCATTTCAGGGCGGTACCAAGATGGACGCTTCGCGGGCCCGGGAGCAGCTCCGGCGGCGATTCCTGCTTCTGCCGGACGCCGAGGCCCAGCTGGACCGCGAGGGTGAGGCCAGGCCGGGTGAGGCGCGCACCAAGCCGCCCTGAGGTTCTCAGAGGCGAGGCGCCGGAAAACGACCGGCCTCTCGCGGCCCCGGCCCAGTCTGGAGGGACCGAGTTTCGGCTTTGCAAGTCGATTATTTAAATGTCAGGAAAGATCCTTAGTGTTGTGCATTTTCATCTCAGCTGCGCTTCAGAATTCTGTGGAGAGCTGATTTGACACCTGTTTGGAAATATCGATTAAAATTAAAAATACCCACCCCTTCTAATTTTAAGAATTTACCAGAGACATAACTGTACCACAGTGTACAAAGATGTGCGCAGTGCGAATGACTAGAAATAGCTATCTTGCCCGTCAGCAGAAAGCTGGTTAAGTAAATTTGGATAAATCTATACATGACACGCCAGGCAGACTTGTATGTACCAGTGGGGATGATTTTCAAAGGGAGGTGCAGAACAGTATATCGTATGCCGCCATTTGGGTACAAAAAGGTAACCTGTGATGTATGTTCACCTGTAGATGCATAATATATGGAAGAATTCAGTAGAAATTGTAAGTGGTGGTTGCTTCTAGGCATTAAATCTGAGGTTAAGATTGGGAGACAGATATTTCATTTTGGATATTTTTATCCTGAATGTTTAAAAACCATGTCCATTTATTACCTTTTCAAAATAAACATGAATAATATCATGTCCAGGCATGACAATGTATATGTGTTGAGGATATTCCAGAATATCATGAACATGCTCCCCAGGGTTTCTGATGGTCATTTAAAGGCCCAAAACCTCATCTACAGACCAGTGATTCTCACATGAACATAGAGAGAGGGCATGTCAGAATCCCGTGAAAATTTTCTAGTAATCACCCGTCTGACCCAACCCCCATCCACCCATTCTTTTTTTTTTTTTTTTAAAGAGACGGGGTTTCGCCATGTTGGCCAGGATGATTTCGAACCCCTGACCTCAGGTAATCCATCCGCTTCGGCTTCCCAAAATGCTGGGATTACAGGCGTGAGCCACGACGGCGCCTGGCTTCATCCATCCATTCTTTCCTCATTCACCCGTTCTTTCAGATTGGGTTCCAAATGGGGAAAAATGACTTGTCCATCACCTGTCTAGATAGTGCTGTGCTAGAACTAGAACTCGGTTGTGCCATTTCCACTTTTGAGCTGTATTTAAAGTAATTAAAATATTTACTTATGGGCTGGGCATGGTGTCTCACGCCTGTAATCCCAGCACTTCGGGAGGCCGAGGTGGGTGGATCACGAGGTCAGGAGTTCCAGACTAGCCTAGCTAACATGGTGAAACTCCGTCTGTACTAAAAGTACAAAAATTAGCCGGGCGTGGTGGCGGGCATCTGTAATTCCAGCTACTTGGGAGGCTGAGGCAGGAGAATTGCTTGAACCTGGGAGGCGGAGGTTGCAGTGAGCCGAGATTGCGCCGTTGCACTCCAGCCTAGGTGACAGAGCGAGACTCCGACCCAAAAAAAAAAAAAAAAAAATTGTAAAAGTGTTTATGGAAGATCACAAGTCCATTTCATGCGCTAACATTTGCCTTTGGTGTTTTTCCTAATTAAGACTAATTACCTTCCTAGAAGAAATGTGAAACATATTACAATTCTTACATTTCCAGGTGGCATTTCAGAAATATATTGATTTCAGAATATATTTAGAGAAAATAAATTGGCTGTATTGAATATATTTTATAGTGGGTTCTGATTAATGATTTTTTTGTAAATATAAACTTAAGGGTTTTACAGAGGATTTTTATAATGGAAGAGACTCTGGTTCTTAGCTCTAGGAAGTGATTTTTATTTGGCTTAAATTAAGTGTAATTTTTCTTCACAAAATTGTGGTAACTTAATAAGTTGAATTCTCCCTTATTTGCAGAAACCTCTACAGCTGTTGAGAAAAAGGAGAAACCTCTTCCAAGACTTAATATCCATTCTGGATTCTGGATTTTGGCATCCATTGTTGTGACCTACTATGCTGACTTCTTTAAAACCCTTAAAGAAAGCTTTCACACTAGCAGGTAAGAAAACTTCACTGCTTGATAAATTAAACATATGTATGATTTTTTGTGTTATGTTTTGTCAGTTGAATTCTTCAAACAGTAAGCACCTACTCTCTGCCAGGTCCTGTGTTGGAGGTGCTGGTGATACAAAGATGAATATGAGATGGGGGTCAAAGCGTACATATTTTTATTATGAGATGAATAAGGTCCAGGGATCTAATGTCCATACAGTATAGTGACTATAGTTAATGCCGTGTTGTATACTTGAAATTTTCTAAGAGTATGTCTTGTTTCCTCCCCCGGTTGCCCCACCAGTGGTAACTATGTGAGGTGTGATAATTAACTTGATTGTAGTAATCATTTCACAGTGTATATGTATATCAAGTCATCACATTGTACACTTTGAATATATATAATTTTTTCACTTTATTTTTTTATTGAGACGGAGTTTCGCTGTTGTTACCCAGGCTGGAGTGCAATGGTGCGATCTCGGCTCACCGCAACCTCCGCCTCCTGGGTTCAGGCAATTCTCCTGCCTCAGCCTCCTGAGTAGTTGGGATTACAGGCACGCACCACCATGCCCAGCTAATTTTTTGTAGTTTTAGTAGAGACGGGGTTTCACCATGTTGGTCTTGATCTCTTGACCTCGTGATCCACCTGCCTCGGCCTCCCATAGTGCTGGGATTACAGGCGTGAGCTACCGCGCCCGGCCGAATATATATAATTTTAATTTGTCAATTATACCTCAGTAAAGCTGGAAAAAAACCATTGAGAGGGTTTGTGCTCTGGGCATACACAGTAGAGTTGAAGAGAACTGAAAATTATTTATGTGCAAATAAATATGTTGTAGGATGAGGAAGGTAATCAATTTAAGAAAGACCTAATCCATTTAAGGAAAAAAGGTGGGAGAATGACTGAAGGTCTTCATGAAGACCAAGTATAAGAGTGCTGGGAAGGGCTGGGTATGGTGGCTCATGCATGTAATCTCAGCACTTGGGAAGCCAAGGGGGGCAGATCACGAGGTCAGGAGTTCAAGACCAGGCTGACCAACATGGTGAAACCCCGTCTCTACTAAAAATACAAAAATTAGCCAGGCGTGGTAGCGCACGTCTGTAATCCCAGCTACTAAGGAGGCTGAGGCAGGAGAGTTGCTTGCACCCGGGAGGCAGATGCTGCAGTGAGCCAAGATTGCACCACTGCACTCCAGCCTGGGCAACAGAGTGAGACTCCGTCTCAAAAAAAAAAGAGTACTGAGAAGAAGGATCGAGAACTGTGGCTGGTGAGAATCAGGTCTCAGGGTTGGTTTCAGAGTAGTTATAGCTGACAAGGTAACTGTAGGGTGTGACTGCAATAGAGTGGAGGTGAAGGCCAGCAGTGGAAGGAGAGAGCTTTGTGGCCAGGCCAGATGTCCAATAGTTCCTCATTCACAGGGACTGAGATCCCTTCAGTATAGTCTCCAGAGTTGACATGGAGGAGAGGGTTAGAATCATATCCTAGAGTCCCTACTGCACATTGGAGAGTGATGTGGAGACCCTCAGATAATAGAAGGGAGACGGATGTTGGTGAGCATCAGAGCTGGCACTGGAGGGCTGGTGTGCTTAGGGTCAAGAGAAATACTTTGGAAGTAACAGTGGGGCTGGGAAGACGTAGACAAGACTGTGGTCCCCTGGTATCATAGCAGGACACATAATTTCTCCTCAAGGGCCTTGAGGAGGAGCAGTGACTTCTAGGAGACTGTCAAGCCAGAGGAAACAAGCCTTCGGGGGAAAGTAGGCAGATGGGGAGTTTATTTAAATTGTCGGCAGAGAAACATTCCCTAAACACTCCCATTTTCTGTCATTCCAAGTCACTCCTTTGTGGGATGTGGCGTGACTGACTGACTGTGTGATGAAGAAGTGGACGAAGGTAGCTCAGCACCTTCTCCTGCACTTCGGCTGCCCATAGGAAGCCCAGAGTCTGGGCTGCCTTCCCATGGTGTCATTTCACCGGGGCAGCCCCCACAGGAAAAGGTCTCCAGGTTTTCACTGTGACCTGCAACCCAGTGGGTAGGCCTGTCTGTTTCTTGGTCTCAGTATTAGGAATTGCCTGCCAGCACTCACCAAAGCCATATTCTTCCCACAGCTGCATCAGTATAATGGACATTTAATCTTCATCAGCTTGACTCAGTCATTGCTCTTAGAACTTGGGCTGGGAAAAGAGAGATGGATACTTTATTTTTGACTTTGAGACAGGGCCTCGCTCCACTCTGTCACCCAGGCTGGAGTGTAGGGGTGTGATCATGGCTGTCTGCAGCCTTGACTTCACAGGCTCAAGTGGTCCTGCCACTTCAGCCTCCCGAGTAGCTAGGACTATAGGTGCACACCCCCATGCTTCGCAATTTTGTTTATTTTTTGTAGAGACAGGGCCTCTTCCTGTTGCCTAGGTCAGTCTCAAACTTCTGGGCTGAAGTGATCCTCCCACCTTAGGTTCCCACAGTACTGGGATTATAGGTGTGAGCCACTGCACCTGGCTGCAGGGGATGGGTGCTTTAAACACACCAATAGCAGCTGCTGTTTCTTTCATCAGTTACTTTATGGAACCTGAGATGTGTTTGGCTATGGGAGCCAAACACATGGAAGGTGCATTTCTAGCTCTCCAACAGCTCCTTCTAGTCTGCAGCAGACAAGTTACCAGGCCTCATGGTGTGTGCTCTGTAAGTGAAGGGCACAGGGTATTATGGGAGCATCTTGGAGGGGTACCTAGTCCAGGTCAGCCTTGGGACTGAGACCTTTTTGAGGTGTTAGGAGATGTGAGAGAACTACTTTATTTGTGTGCTAATATTGGGTATTTTTAGAAGTTTAAAGAAATGGCAGAGTAAGAATGATCACACATAAGATGTCTGGGGCAACTGCAGTAGCTAACTGGCGTGCCCAGGACCACACAGCTGCTGAGTGGCAAAGCCACAACGCAGACACTGGGACCAGGGCTGTGGGGGTTGGAAAGAAAGAAGAAGTGATAGATCTGTCCTCAAAAAGGTGTCATCTTAGAGAGAAAAAGGCATAATGCATTCTCAAAGGCTGAGAATGTTGTCACATTGTTTTCTTGGGAAGGACTCATTCAAGGAGGTTGGGGGTACTGAGCAGCCATGAGATGAGAAGGCTGCATAAAAGACAGTGCCGGCTGAGTTCCGCTTTTTGAAAATGGCTAAAAGGGCTCATTCTCTGACACCTGAGGTAATTTCATTATCCCCTGGCTCTAGCCTAAGTTCAGAAGCTTGAGGCCTTAAGGTTCTTTATATTCAAAGATAGATGAGCAGGTTCGTTCATATTAAAAACAAAACAACACTATGATGCTTTAAAAAAATCACAGTTTAAAAAACTCTGCCTCTGTGCATCAAAATCAACTGTGGAGTTAAAAGCAAAAAGTAAAATTAAAATCCCAGATGCTCAGACTGAGAATTGTGGAAACTGAGGACTAGGTAGTTTCTCTTAGAAAGGTGCAAGGTGACTGTGATATAAGGCCAGGGTTGAGGACCACTGACTGATGGCGTTATGTTTTGTTCAGGCAGCTTTTTAAATTTTCTTATATCCTTTACCAGCATGTGCTCTTTACCCTTTTATCATCACCCCCAAGAAGTCTTTTTAGACATGTTTTTTTCTAATCGTCCCTGTGGAATGTGGAATTTTAATACCTCAGATAAACTATGTATTTGCTTACATACTGCATGCATATCTGTGGTTTATACATACAATTAGAGCCAGATTTTTTTCTTTGCTTTGGAGAATAATGATTGTGGAATATGGATGAGTGGAATAATAGTGATTGTGATTGAGGGTTAGCTGTGAGAAGCACTTGGCTGACCACCTGATTTAATTCTCACAGCTATTCTGAGTTAAGTACTGTCAGTATTTCTGAAACACACGGAGGTTAAGAAATTGCCTAGAGTCACAAAACTAGTCTTGCTCAAGCTGAGATTCAAATCCATACAGCAAAGGCTGTGCTCTTAACCCCTTCACTATACTGCCTCTCAAAACTCCGAATCTCAGAATTGCATCATCACAAAAAGCTTTCATGGAATCCAGAACCTTGCCATTGTTGGCAGTTCACTTTGTGCCTTCGTAACTTAACTGTTGTAGCCATCTGTTCTCTCTCTCTAACATGGACCGTCAGGCTTTTCCCCATAGAGAAGCAGATGCTGGTGGGGTATTGGGTTGAGTTGGGAGCAAGGGAAAGGGACTTCGGTCCCCAGTCCAGCTGGGGTGGAAGGAAGGGGTTGTCTAGGTTGCCTCACACTGGCTAAATCAGATCATAGGTGGAATTAGAAGGGAGTAAAAAGGCATTACCATTGAGGATGAGATGGTGGGTAGCAGATTTTCTAAATGCGAAGATTTCATTTAGAAATCTTAATGAGAGAAAATTGGAATTATTGAGCTTCTAAGTTGTCTTTTGGTATGCTAAGAAAGTCCACTTAACACAGAGAAATTAAGTTTCCCACTGATAAACTTCTGTAATACTGTCAAACTCAAAACTTCAGAAACAGCCAGAAAGCCACTATCTTCCTTGTATTTTTAGTTTTAGTTTTAGTTTTTTGAGACGGAGTTTTGCTCTTGTTTCCCAGGCTAGATTGCAATGGTGTGATCTTGGCTCTCTGCAACCTCTGCCTCCTGGGTTCAAGTGATTATCCTGCCTCAGCCTCTGGAGTAGCGTGAATTACAGGCATGCGCCACCACACCTGGCTAATTTTGTATTTTTAGTAGAGATGGGGTTTCTCCATGTTGGTCAGGCTGGTCTCGAACTCCCAACCTCAGGTGATCCACCTGCCTTGGCCTTTCAGAGTGCTGGGATTACAGGTATGAGCCACTGTGCTTGGCCTCTTCCTTGTATATTTAAAGAAAACGCATTGCCGTGACCAGGCTTTTCCCTTGGTTGGTTGGTTGATAAGAGTGTATATAAATGCATGTATTTCACAAGTCTTACTTTTCATCCTTTCCTGAGTCATGTGTCTCTTTTTCTCACCCCTGTCTCCCATGGATTGAGACTTTCTGAAAGCCTGGGTCCCTTTGTATCACTTGATATTCTTCTTAGAAACAGATTTTTCGTCTGGGCGCGATGGCTCACGCCTGTAATCCCAGCACTTTGGTAGGCCAAGGCGGGCATATCACCTGATGTTGTTAGTTCGAGACCAGCCTGACCAACATGGAGAAACCCTGTCTCTACTCAAAATACAAAAGTAGCTGGGCATGTACTGGTACCAAAACAGAGATATAGACCAATGGAACAGAACAGAGGCCTCGGAGGCAATGCAACATATCTACAACTGTCCGATCTTTGACAAACCTGACAAAAACAAGCAATGGGGAAAGGATTCCCTGTTTAATAAATGGTATTGGGAAAACCGGCTAGCCATGTGCAGAAAGCAGAAGCTGGACCTCTTCCTGACACCTTACACTAAAATTAACTCCAGATGGATTGAAGACTTAAACATAAGACCTAACACCATAAAAACCCTAGAAGAAAATCTAGGCGAAACCATTCAGGACATAGGCCTAGACAAGGACTTCATGACCAAAACACCAAAAACATTGGCAACAAAAGCCAAAATAGACAAATGGGACCTAATCAAATGCCACAGCTTCTGCACGGCAAAAGAAACAGTCATTAGAGTGACTCGGCAACCAACAGAATGGGAAAAAAATTTTTGCAGTTTACCCATCTGACAAAGGGCTGATATCCAGAATTTACAAAGAGCTAAAACAGATTTACAAGAAGAAAACAAACAAGCCCATTCAAAAGCGGGTGAAGGAATGAACAGACACTTTACAAAAGAAGACATACATGAGGCCAACAAACATATGAAAAAATGTTCATCATCACTGGTCATTAGAGAAATGCAAATCAAAACAACATTGAGATACCATCTCACGCCAGTTAGAATGGTGATCATTAAAAAATCTGGAGACAACAGATGCTGGAGAGGATGTGAAGAAATAGGAACACTTTTACACTGTTGGTGGGAGTGTAAATTAGTTCCACCATTGTGGAAGACAGTGTGGTGATTCCTCAAGGACCTAGAAATAGAAATTTCATTTGACCCAGCAATCCCATTACTGGGTATATATCCAAAGGATTATAAATCGTTCTACTATAAGGACACGTGCACATGAATGTTCATTGCAGTACTGTTTACAATAGCAAAGACCTGGAACCAACCCAAATGCCCATCGATGATAGACTGGACAGGGAAAATATGGCACATATACACCATGGAATATTATGCAGCCATCAAAAACGATGAGTTCGTGTCCTTTGTAGGGACATGGATGAACCTGGAAACCATCATTCTCAGCAAACTGACAAAAGAACAGAAAATCAAACACCACATGTTCTCACTCATAGGCGGGTGTTGAACAATGAGAACACATGGACACAGGGAGGGGACCACTACACTCTGGGGTCTATTGTGGGGGAATAGGGGAGGGACAGCTGGGGGTGGGGAGTTGGGGAGAGAGAGCATGGGGAGAAATGCCAGATATAGGTGATGGGGAGGAAGGCAGCAAATCACACTGCAACCTGCGTAGCTATGCAACAATCTTGCATGTTCTTCACATGTACCCCAAAACCTAAAATGCAATAAAAAAAAAAAAGTAGCTGGGCGTGGTGGCGGGTGCCTGTAGTCATAGCTACTAGAGAGGCTGAGGCAGGAGAATTGCTTGAACCCGGGAGGCAGAGGTTGCAGTAAGCCGAGATCATGCCATTGCACTCCAGCCTGGGCAACAAGAGCAAAACTTTGTCTCAAACAAACAAACAAAAAAAAGATTTTTCAGCTGTTAATAAAAACATTTAAGACATCACATGATTCATTAAGTGCTGTCAACCCTCTTACTGTTTTTATCTCCACAGCTGGTTTCTCTGTGGCAGTGCCTTGTTGCTTGTTAGCTTATCAATTGCGTTTTACTGCATAGTCTACCTGGAGTGGTATTGTGGAATTGGAGAATATGATGTCAGGTATCCAGCCCTGATTCCCATTACTACTGCAGCCTTTATTGCAGCGGGAATTTGGTAAGTTAATTTTTAAATGACTAACAGGAATGAAAAACAATTTTTTTTTTGATCAGATAGTGATATGCTTGGTCTAAACTTCGAAAGAAAAAAAGATACAACAGAAAAATGGTCTCCTGGTCATTCCTGCTCTCTGGTTGTCTTTTCATTAGTATTTCTTTCTCCTTCTATTTATGGACCTAGTTATTTAAAGCACAAATGGTGACATTCTCTACATAGTCTACATTTTGCTTTTTAAATCTTTTTTATTATGACATACAATACATGTAGACAAGTGGAAAAAACTAAAATGAATTAGTGGATGAATTCTCATGAAGTGAGCACTGGTATAAATGGAGCCAGCACACTGAACCCCTTCATTCTCCCTCCCAGTTCCTACACCTTCCGTCCTGCCGCAGGGAAACAAGTACTGCCTTGAGCTTCATGGTAACTCTTGCTTTGCTTCCATGAGATATTCTATTTTTGCTTCATCTATGTTTTTGAACTTTATAGAAATGGATTCATATAGGGTGTGTTCTTTCACACATAATGCCTATGTGCAGCATTATGTGCAGTTCTTTCATATTGTTGCCTGTTACTCACTTCATTGCTGTTTAGCATTCCATTGTATAATTGAATCCCAGTTTCTCTTTTCCATTGTTTTGTTTTGTTTGAGACGGAGTCTCACTGTGTTGCCAGGCTGTAGTGCAGTGGTGCAATCTCGGCTCACTGCAACATCCAACTCCCTGGTTCAAGTGATTCTCCTGCCTCAGTCCCCCAAAGTAGCTGGGATTACAGGCACACGCCACCACACCCAGCTAATTTTTGTATTTTTAGTAGAGATGGGGTTTCACCATGTTGATCAGGATGGTCTCCATCTCCTGGCCTCGTGATCTGCCCGCCTCGGCCTCCCAAAGTGCTGGGGTTACAGGCATGAGCCACCGTGCCTGGCCCTCTTTTCCACTGTTGATTGTGTTTAGATTTTTTCCAATTTGGGGTTACTATGAAGGATGCTATGAAGAACATTCTTATACATGGCTCTTGTAGCACAGTGCACACATTTCTGTTGGGTGTAGAGGTTTGTGTATACCTACACACACACATACATATACATGTGTGTGTGTATGTGTGTACCCCAAGGGGTAAAATTGTTGGGTCATAGGGTATGCATACCTTTGACTTCATTAAATCATGCCAAACTGCTTTCCAAAATGGTTGTTCATCATTTTTTTCCTTTTATTTTTCAGTGGATCCTTATAGTTTGAATTCTTCCATAATGGTACATGTAGATGTGTCTCATTCTTTTAAACAGTTATGTAGTTTTCACAACGTGGACATATCATGATTTATTTAACCTGTTTTCTGTTGTTGGACTTAGTTATATTTGTACTCAAACTATGCCACAATGACTATCCTTCTTAATAAGTTAATTAAGTACTCAATGAAAAATACAGGGTTTTTTGGGTTTATAAAAGTAATACTTGTTCACTGAGGAAAAAAAAATCTGTAAATTACAGAAAAACACAAAGGAAGTACATCCTGTGATTCAACCAGAGAGAAAACGACTTTTCTCATGTTGTATGTAGCTCTTAGTTTTTTCTCTCTTTATATCAATTGGAGTTTTTTTTTTTTTTTTTTTTTTTTGAGACATGGTCTCGCTCTGTCACCCAGGCTAAAGTGCAGTGGCGCAATCACAGCTCACTGCAGCCTCAACTTCCCAGGCTTAAATGATCCCCCTACCTCACTCAGCCTCCCAAGTAGTTGGGACCACAGGCATGTGCCACCGTGCCCACCTAATTTTTTGTATTTTTTTGTCTTCATTAAATTTTTTTTGAGACGGAGTTTTGCTCTTGTTACCCAGGCTGGAGTGCAATGGCGCGATCTCGGCTCACCGCAACCTCCGCCTCCTGGGTTCAGGCAATTCTCCTGCCTCAGCCTCCTGAGTAGCTGGGATTACAGGCATGCACCACCATGCCCAGCTAATTTTTTGTAGTTTTAGTAGAGACGGGGTTTCACCGTGTTGACCAGGATGGTCTCGATCTCTTGACCTCGTGATCCACCCGCCTCGGCCTCCCAAAGTGCTGGGATTACAGGCGTGAGCCACCGCGCCCGGCTGTATTTTTTTTTTTTTAGTAGAAGCGGGGTTTCACCGAATTAGCCAGGATGGTGTCCATTTCCTGACCTCATGATCCACCTGCCTCAGCCTCCCAAAGTGCTGGGATCACAGGCGTGAGCCACCACATCCAGCCCTTTCATTCTGTTTTTAAGATAAAATACTTTGGTCTTTTTTACCATGATAGTTTAGTGTGTGATGTCATGAAAACGGGCTGTAGCCATTTAAATTCTTTTTCAGGTGCAGGAACTGAGAGACCTAAGTTTCTGTGAAGCCATGTCAACTCCTATTAGGAGACCTTCAGTGGTTCCAGTTCCAGGGCCTTGAAGAAATTGCGATTGTATATCTGGAGTTTTCCTTTCCAACATTGGCCAAGTCACATAGCTGAGAAATATAGATACATATAGAAAGTTCCTGACTGGATGAACTTTTCCACTTTGAATTCTTTAAATCTAGATTCTAGAATGAAATATATTTATGTATATTAGAGTTGTCAACTGTTTTTGTTCTTTTCAGCTTCAACATTGCTTTATGGCACGTGTGGTCATTTTTCACTCCGTTGTTGTTGTTTACCCAGTTTATGGGGGTTGTAATGTTTATCTCACTCCTTGGATGATTTCTGAAGGTAAGATATCTGGAATGGTTTTTCTGATGTTGAACTCGTTTGAAACATGTCTTTTATGACAATTTTCAATGGATGGAGCTGTAACAGACTATTTGTAAATTATTTTCAGTCATGTTGACACCAGAGTTGTCCACACTAGAATTGTCCATCTGTTGAACTCTGAGGTAGAAGGGACTGAGACTCCTTTTTTTTTTTTTTGACACTGGGTCTCACTCTGTTGTCCAGGTTGGAGTACAGTGGCATGATCACAGCTCACTGCAGCCTTGACCACCTGGGGGCTCAAGCGATCCTCCCACCTCAGCTTCCTAAGTAGCTGGTATTACAAACATGTGCTACCATGCTTGGCTAATTAAAAAATTTTTTTGTGGAAACAGTCTCCCCATGTTGCCCAGGCTGGAGGGGGTGGGGCTGAGACTCTTTCTTTTGTAAAAGTTGATTCTAAGTGACTACTTTTTAGAGAAAGTACCCTGTCTTTCAAAGACCTCATAAAGACAGGATTTTACCTTTCAATATAGTTAAATTCATACATTAGACTATTTTATATTGAAATTATATTAATTTCTGTCAAATGACTGTTTAACATCATTCTGAAGAAATGGGAATACAGGAAGAATGGACAGTTTTACCCAATTGGGAAAAAAATTCTGCTATCTTCTAACTGTCCTGGATTCCTCATAAAAATGTGATGGATGACACAATCAGCTTTTGTTTGATGTTATTTATAGAATTTCTGCCTCCCCACACATCACCCCATCCTGAGATCTGCTGCCTTACATAGTGGAGGCTGTTTTCTGAGTGTCAGAAAATTCTGTTATTAAATAAGTATATTTTGAGAATACTCACTCCAGATGCTTAGGGGCGTGGTGAAAAGGACAAAGACAATGCCTCCTGTCAGGTCACTTACATCAGAACTTGCAGGAAATCTGCTTTATACAGCAGTTTACAGATGTGGAAACTGAGGCCCATGGAAATAAAAGTTAATACACTAAATTTTCAAGGAGCTAATGAAAACTGACATTTCTGCTAACAAACAGTGTGTTCTCCCTGTGGGATGTTAAAGAAAAGTCAATGGTAACCAAGTGAAGAAGAAATGGATATAGTCTCACTGTTAGCGGTCTGAACATAGTTGCTAGCATATCCCTGCCCATGCCAGCGTCTCCAGTCTCCTTCATGCGTCTTGTGTGTCTCGGGATCACTGGGAGCCCTCACGTAGGCCCTTTCCTGTACACACATGGTGCCACCAGCGCCTCTGGGCCCGGAGGAATCCTGCACATCTCAGAACACTTCCTCACCCGACCCCATCACCCACCCCTCCCCTTCTCATGTTGTGAAGTCTTCTTTGACTCTTCAGGTTTGATATTTTACAGATGTTTGGGAGCTCTTTCTCTGACATGAATTGGTAATGGAGATAGAGAGTTCACTCAGCAGAGTGAACTCTGCTTTTTAGTGTTAAATGCAATAGCTTAAGATAAAATGTTTTATTTGGTACATGAATGCTGGTTTTCTTTCAGATTTAAGGACATATACTTTTTTTTTTTTTTGAAGGGACAGGGTCTTCTATGTTGCCCAGGCTGGCCTTGAACTCCTAGGATCAAGTGATCCTCCTGCCTCAGCCTTCGAAGTAGTTGGGACTACAGGCCCATGCCGCCGTGCCTGACTGTACATGTAAATTTGAAGTGAATGGTTAAACATCCAGCTAGCTGAAAGCATGGCAGACCCTAACAGAAAAGCTACACTGTGTTTTTGCAACTATGAAGTGGTTTCCTGGGAAAGATTGTGACTTTGTATAACTGTTATTGAAACCTGAATAAATTATATTTCACTTGCATATTCTTAAATTATTAAAATTTTCAGAAGTCAGTGATATAGAAATACTATTTTGTAATGTTAATCTGCTTGAATCTTTGGAGAAGGTGGTTTCATTATAGGTGCATAATGCACTCTTAATATTTTAAATAAATTGTTCACTCTTCCATTTGAGGGATTTAGACAAGGATGTCTAAAATGGCTGAATGTGTATAAAGGAATTATGTTGTCATGTGCCTTTAACCAGCTTTGGTAATTGCTGTAATCTCATGTTTATGATAGTTTTGTTAGGTGACAGGACCAAATGAAAGCATTTTATGTTTTTTCATCACTTTAGATTTTATCATTGAGTAAATTATTGAGTTTTTAGAATTTCCTAATGTGAAGTTTTAATCATTTTAAGTATATATATTTTTTCTGTGCCATTTAAATAAAATATTTTTGTAACTTTCTTGTGAGTTTTGTTCATGCAAACTTTGGAATAACTTCTGCTTTTTAGCTATTAGCACTTTGAATTAACTGTAGAAATAAAGGCTAACTCTGGTCTTCAAAGACCTTATAAAGACAGTATTTGCATTTTCAAATGCAGATATGTCTGCATTAAATCTAAACAGCATAAGCATTGTGACAGCATGTACCTGATGTTGATTGTTTTCTCTGTAAAGTGGCTTCCAGTAATGACCTGATTTAATCACCACTTGTGTCTGGTTCAGATCACCCTGCCATTTACTAGCTGCAAGATCTTCAGCAGTACAGGTTTAATATCCCTCCAAAATCTGAAACTCTTTGATTGCTGACATGACGCTCAAAGGAAATGCTCACTGGAGCATTTGGGTTTTGGGTTTTGGAGTATAATGCAAATATTCCAAAATCCAAAACACTTCTGGTCCCAAGCATTTCAGAGAAGAGGTGGTCAACCTGTAATCTTTTTTCAACTATGAATTGAGAATAAAAGAGACTTTGAGACAGAGTCTTGCTCTGTCACCCAGGCTGGAGAGCAGTGGCACGATCTCGGCTCACTGCAGTCTCCGCCTCCCAGGTTCAAGTGATTCTCCTGCCTTAGCTTTCCTGAGTAGCTAGGATTACAAGTGCGCCAGTATGCCTGGCTAATTATTTGTATTTTTAGTAGAGCTGGGTTTTGCCATGTTGTCCACACTGGTCTGGAACTCCTGGCCTCCCAAAATTCTGGGATTATAGATGTGAGTCCCCGCACCTGGCCAAAAAGAGACATTTTAATAAATATGTTTAAACAAGAGTATGATTGGTTCCTGTTAAATGATTCTTATGCAAGTTATTTATGGGGTTTTTTTATTTTTAATTTAAGAAATGGGGTCTTGCTGTCACTCAGGCTGGGGTACAGTGGTACCGTCATGGCTCCCTGTATACTCACACCCCTGGGCTCAAGCAGTCCTCCCACCTCAGCCTCCTGAGTAGCTGGGATTACAAGCATGAGCCACCATACTCAGCTAAGGTCCTTTCCTTTTATTATAACTATTATGTAAATTAAAATGGTGTCAAACAATCTTATTATTGCTTTTAAACTGGTAGGAGGAACACCTACTTGTAAGAGTAATGAAGAGCTATATTGAGTTAAATTGAAAGTTGGAGATAAAGTGTGTACCCTGGCTTTGACAATCAGTGTCAAGATCATGTTTTCAACCTGTATTGCACACCCAGGGCTTAGAAGTTCTGATTGAATTTGTAGGCAAAACTGTCCGTGTTGTTCGAAGAGTTCCTCAAGTGGTTGTAATGTGCATCCTGGATCAAGAACTATCCTACTACCCTAGTTAGTTAGGGTAGAGACATCTCGGAAGAAGCTGGGACACTAGGATTGGCAAGAAAGATAGAACTGGGGGAAAAAAAAAAAAAGATAACGGAATCTTGGCTCACTAGGGTAAAAACCAGATTGGAACTTCTCCTACATCTGTGTCTGGGACCTGGTTTGGGAGAGGATTTGAAACAGGACTTAAAGTTCCTGGCTGTGTTTGGTTTTGTGCTACTAGAAAATGGTCTCTGACTACAGCAAAAAACGCATTGGACAGGAATCCAACAAGGACAGTAAGTAGGACAGTTTTTGGGGGCGGGGCTAAGGGCCTAGGTAATAGGAATAACAGGACATGACTTCCCACTATCCTAAAGATGGCGCATAGTGTCAAAAGAATTTTGGGCCATGTTTTAAAAGTGCCACAGTTTGATCTTTGGCTACAAATAATATTCTTCCCACATGCAAAAGTAACTTACTTCCCAAGATTCCTCCAAAAGTTTCATCCCATTACAGTATCGGGCTCAGGCTTGAGGTCCAGGATCTTATCAGATGAGGTTCTTCAGATGTTGAGTCCTTTTAATCTAATTTTATTATTTTTTTTTTTTTGAGACGGGGTCTTTGTCATCCAGGCTGGAGTGCAGTGGTGCCATCTAAGCTCACTGCAGCCTCAACCTCCTGCATTTAAGCCATCCTCCCACCTCGGCCTCCCAAGTAACTGGTACTACAGACATGTGCCACCACACCCAGCTAATGTTTTGTATTTTTTGTAGAGACAGAATTTCACTATGTTGCCCAGGCTGATCTTGGACTCCTGAGCTCAAGCAATCTGCCTGCCTCGGCCTCTCAAAGTGCTAGGATTACAGGTGTGAACCTCCACGCTCAGCCTCCAAACATTTTTACAATCAAGTTACCTGCCATCCACACTGATCATACAGTGGTGGGACAGAAAGGGAATCACAGTCAACATTCCCATTCAGAAAGGGGTGCTTCGGTCTACAGCAATTCTGAAATTCAACTGGGCACATGGCCCCCTATCTTGACTAAGGATCAGTACAGCTTCCTAGAAATGTGTGATAGCTCTTGGCTCTGGGTTCTGTGTCATCCTCTGAATCATCCTTTGTTTTTTAAGAAAACTAAGTTTGGGCCGGGCACGGTGGCTCAAGCCTGTAATCCCAGCACTTTGGGAGGCCGAGGCGGGTGGATCACGAGGTCAAGAGATCGAGACCATCCTGGTCAACATGGTGAAACCCCATCTCTACTAAAAATACAAAAAATTAGCTGGGCATGGTGGCACATACCTGTAATCCCAGCTACTCAGGAGGCTGAGGCAGGAGAATTGCCTGAACCCAGGAGACGGAGGTTGCGGTGAGCCGAGATCGCGCCATTGCACTCCAGCCTGGGTAACAAGAGTGAAACTCTGTCTCAAAAAAAAAAAGAAAACTAAGTTTGGAGTGGAGTAGCCTTTCAGCCTGCTTCCTGCTCATAAAAGGTGTGAGGTCCAGAGGACTCTTCATTGTGTACTGTCTGTACCCCTTTAAGACTGAGCTGGTGGTGTTTCTACCAGAACAATTCGCAAAGCCTAAGATGTAGGAGATATTCTTGGTAGCTTTTAAAGAGACTTTCATGTCCTGGAGCTGCAGAGTTGACACAGCTGAAGAATAGGCACAGAATTTAATTCTAAGATTGGCAGAGTACCAGAGAAGGCTGAATTCTCAGTCTAGGAAAACATCCTATGTAAAGTCAGGGAAGGATTATGGCCTTAATTGGAATGGGGGTATTCATTTAAATGGACTTCATAACCTTATATCCTAGATTCCTCAGAACGTTTTGGGCCTGCAGAAAGGGACCACTTTCTCTTACTGGAAGATAGACATGAGGTCAAGACAATGCAGAGGTCTCAGAGGATGTAGGACGCCACCAAGCAAAGCTTCCCCTCCTCAGCCTGTGTCCCCATATTCCTTCCTGCCCATCCAACCAATATCCTGGGGCAAATATTGATATCACTTTACTGGAGTGATCACTTTACTGGCTGGCCTGCCAAGTAAAAAGAGAAGGATTATGTGGCAAAGGTGCTCAGGACCTGCACTGCTGCGAATCAGGAGAGCATGTCTGGGAGTAGATCCTGGTGGTGCGGATTACAGGCTGAATACAAAGTTGGATAAGCGAGAGTTCGTCAAAACTTATGACAGGATTCAACACCCTTGTAAGGGCTTCAAGAGATGATTCTAATCCACTGCTGTTACGGCCCTTGCATACTTGGAAAAAGTAATGGCCCATATTAAACAAATGAGATGTCAAGATCGCTGTGACAGCTTATAGAGGAAGAGATCCAAGAGTTTCTGAGGGAGTAGACGTGTTCAAATGGGTTTACTATATTAGGCTAGAAAACCTATCCACCAGGTTCTTCGGAAGAGCCCGAAAGATTCCATTTATCAAGGAAATAAGAAATGAGTAAGGGCAAGCATCACTGAGCTGGTAACTAGAGTTGCTGTAGGGTGGAGCTGAGGTGTGAAAGCCGTTGTAGAACTGGGCTCCCTTGTAGGAACTTAATGATAGGGTCCCATAATAGTAGAGGCTGTGCCAGTTTCACTTTCACCAGGCAGAGCGAACAGTGTCTTCACAGTCCCGCTTCAGGGCTGGTCAGCCTCTTTGTTCTGCGCCATAATATAGATCTTGATTGTCCTGACATTGTACACAGCATCATACTGGTCCACTACACTGGTGATGTTATGTAATTGGATCTGATGAACAGGAAGTAGCAAGTCCTTTAGATGCCAATTTTTTGAGAAAAAAATTTATTTGCTACTGGGCCCTGGTGCAGACTGAACACCTAACTTAGGACAAGTGACCCCTGAGCTTTCCATCATGAGCTGGATATTATCTGATCCACCAAACCATGAAGTTAGGCCTGCACAGCAGCACTGTATTATTAAGTAGAAATGGGATAGATGACACTGAATCTGAGCAGGTTTGGAAACCATAAGTAAGTTGCACATGCAGGTGGTTCAGACTCCTTTGAGATCAACTCCTGCTGCATTGCATTCCTTCCCCATCCACACCATGGTCCTATGGGAGTTTCTCATGAATGAGGAGGAAAAACTTAGGCTGAGCTGCAGGTGCTTCTGCATGCTGTGATGGCACCAACCCAAAGTAGACAGCTGCAGCAATGCAGTCCGTCCCAGTGGTGGCCCTGAGGGACAGTGGTGAAGGAAATCCCTCCCAGTGAGCAGAATGTTGAGTTGTGCAGTTGGTTGTCCTCTGTGTCTGGATTAAGGGACATCCCGAGTACAAATCTCCACTGTCTCATGGGTGGTTGCTAACAGGCCAGCAATTTGGCTGGATGGTTGGTAACTTGAAAAGAATTGGAAGATTGGTGACAAGATTGGGAGAAGAGGGATGTGGATGAATATCTCAGAATGGATACAGAGTGTGGAGATTTTCATCACATGTGAATGGTCACCAATGGCCGCACCCTATAGAGGAGGTTGGCAAAGTGGCTTGTTCGTTGGGTGTCTGTCAGCCTCTTTTCCCAGCCATCCAGTGCTTGCTCCATGGGCCATTGTACAAGGTACCTGGTGGCGGGAATGGAGACTGTGCATGGATTCAGCAACATAGAAGATCCCTAGGCAAGGCTCAGCTTGCTTAACACTAGTGCTGGGTGCAGAATCTGCTATGATGGTTTTAAA